AGTTGATTGCTGTGGTCAGTTGCAGCCATAAATGCCATGCGAATAAGGTCTGAGAGATGAAGCACTAGAAGGTCATCTGAAAATAAAAACCAGAAAAGGACTTATTTCAAAAGCCACCCACAATTGGCCGGCTTTGATTTAAAAAAATGTAAGTTGCGCATTTACTCCAGTTTCAGCAAAGCCAAGCCTCCCACCCCCAGCCCCCCTAAAACCTGAGCAAAAATATTGTTTCAAATGCCAAGACTTCTCTTGTATTCTTTTCAAGACAGGAATTTTAAAAAAATAATGACACATGAGTTCATCTCATGTTCTGCAAAAATCTAAACTATATTTAGCGAGCTCATAGTGTCTATTATTCACAGAAGAGCATGTGATCCTTTCTGAGATTCAAGCCATTGGTTAATTTGGTTAAGGGAACAATGCACAGTATTTTTGAAACAAAGGCTTAATTCAGATTATAAAACAGACCTATTCGAAGAGTACAAAGATGAGAAACACAGCCTACAATCATGGCTTTCTTTGCATTTAGCATCTTTTAAAACTTTACCTTATATCAACATTAAATTGGATGTGCAAAAACTATGAGAGATGAAATGCATTTTTATGGACTTTCAAAAGACTGAATCCCTATACAGAATTCGTGTGTTATAATGATGATGATTTATTTTATTGGAAATTGCTTCCCTGGAACATCAGCAAAAATGATATGGCATGAGCTATGAGAACATAAGGCATCTTCTGTTAAGGGAAAAAAATCACTATTGGATGTAAATAAATTGCCTCCCTTAACACGCAGTTTCTAAAATCTCTAACAAAAATAATATTCAGTGTCTTGTTTTATAAGATACAGTATATCACAGAAATATCTGAACTTTTTTTTTTTAAGTATAGTGTCCCAACTTTTAAGCACATTGGTCATTCAGATGATTCTGAAAAGCTCGCTTCCGGTTGGATCGCGGCGCCGATGGCAGCTTCCCTCCGAGGCTGCCTGCCCTGAGGGCACGTTAGAGCCGCAGGAACAGCTGTTCCGCGGCTCAATCCCCCTCCCCGGGCAAAGGGGAGGGGGCGAGCTTCCCCAATAGGGGTAGAGCTCCTTAGCCTTCGCATTTTTCCAGCTGTGAGGGCTAGGTGAGCTCCCCCAGAGTCGGGGACTTCTCTGTGCTTCGGGCTCCTTCGTTCAATAGAACGAAGCCAGACGCGCATCTAATCTCTGCTGCTTTAGGAAACTAATGACTGTGAGTAGAATCTAATATGCAGACAGAGCCTAACAGGATTTTTTTTGAAAACTGTTTGAAACGGGACTTTAACTCTGGAATCTTCTTTATATTTATTCTAATTTGAAGAAGAAGGAATATGGCTGCGGAAGGGTGTTTCTTTTCGTTTGATTGAAACTTATGAGACTTTCATTTTCTGGAAATACAGGAGACTTTCACTTTTTGGAAACTTTCTCTTGGACTATTTTATTGTAACAGACTTAGCTACTTTGGATTGTTTGGGCAACTACTCCTCCATTGTTGTTTGAGGTTCTTATAAGACTGTTAGATTTTTTCTTTTAAGATTTTTATAAGATTTTATGAAAGAGAAAAGTAAAATGGCCTCTAAACGTGTGGGATTTTTTGCTTCTCAGAAAAGCACGATCTCCTCTGCAGCTGTTTTAACATCACAGCAACCAAAACTTGATATGCCTCCGCCTCCCCCCCTAACTTTAGCATTTATATTGAAAGAGATACAGGATGTATTGAAAGACAATGTAAGACAGATTAAAATGGATATGGAGAA